AAGCTCTTTGCAGCCGGACAGCGTCGTTGGTTCGATCGGAGATGTTGCCTTCATGAACCCCGTTTCCTTCCGAAGCAGCACGAGGGACTTTGCCCTCCTCACCCACGGCCCTTGCAGCAGCCAGGTACAGGCTCGCCAAGAGAGCGCTCTCCAGCGGCACGCCTCGAGAGGAACACTCGCCCCGAAGCCTAGCGGCTGTCTCTGCATCAATAGCTACGGCAGCTGAACAACATCTCCCGCTGCTAGTGATGCTGAGGTCGTTGTTGCTGGCATCACTCAGCGGAGAACAAAAAGAGAGGTCCACCCTCTGTCGAGTCGCCGGGGGGAACTCTGCCAGCACATAGCCGAACAGACGGCTAAACCGCCGCCCATCGTGGCTGGAAGGGTTGGTCGCCATCTCCTTCTCGGCTGCGGGCGCACCCCACCCAACCACCCAAGGAGCAAGGAGGAGGAGCAGGCTTGCAGACATGCCGGCTCCACGGGGAGCAGAGCAAACAGCAACCGGGGCTGCAGGAACAAGATGCCCGAGAATAATGCCGCTAGAACCCGTTCGGCCGCATGTCACCACCAAGTCACACCGCACCTGACTCGGTCGGCAACACTACCTATCTCGCAACAACGGTAGGGCCGTACTGCCGCGGCACGGGCGCACAGCAGCAAACACGGACGCAGGAAACACCGATATTCTTCTGGCCTTGAGTTTATCATCAACTACGCACGAGAGGGCAGAGCAGGGAAACGTGCACGCCGTTGAATCCGTTTCGAGGCAACATGATGACGATGAGCATGTCCGCGGCCAAGAACATCATGTTGGTTGTTGTTGTGTTCCTGGCAGGCAAAGCGGAATCGTTCGTGCACGTCGCATCATGCTGGAGCCGAGCAGAAGCTGCAACGACAGCTATGGCTGCTGCATCATCACCTGTCGGGGGAGCAGGAGAAGGGGCAGGGCTGACGCGGGCCGAGGCTATTCGACGCGTAGTCGCAGGGTCTCAAGCCCTAGCTGCTGCAGGGGTGTTGATCGGGGGATCGGCCCGAGCGCTGGCCGAGGAAGAGATGAAGGACGAGGTGCAGCAGTTCGCCGAGCTGCGTGGGAAGGTGGAGAAGAAGGGACGGGAAGAAGCGGTGAGGTTGAGAGTTGTCCAGCAATGCTGTACCTGACCTCTCGAAAATCTGTTTCCTGTACCGGGTATACATGTAAATTTGGCCTCGCGTGACATGAACAGCAGTCTAGCGGAAGAGATGCCCCACTATAAGTCGAATCCAAGCTCGATCTATTCAGCAGCAGAAGCCTTTAGAACGATAAAAGCAACGATGGGAAGTCTTCGTTCCCAGCTTCACCCCCGATGAATAGAGCTTTATGGTACCACGGTTATTGTTGAAGCTCGAACTTGTATAGTCGCCCCACAAGGGGGTGTGCTATCTTACGCGATATGTCTGTCATGGTGGCGTTATGTGTAGACTAAGTATTTGGGTAGTTCGTGAAACAACTCTCCCCCGGAGAGCAACCAGCGGGGGGTCCAAATCTCCCTCCTGTTTTTGACATGATTGCAAGCTTGCGTATTTATGAGTATCGATTTACGTACGACAATTGTAGTGCTGCTGTAGCAGGGCAGTGACTTTCTGAACAGGGGCTAGGCATCAACTACAACAAGCAGTACTAACACAGAAAGTTAAACTACTAGTAACAATGAAGAGTTGGTGCGTTTCACGCACACAGCAGTAGCTCGTGGATATGCTTATCGCACCTGTGCGAAGTTGTTCGGGAATTCCACCTGCCACAGACGACGAGTGGTGCGACAAAGGCGTACATCTTTGGATCCGTTGTACCATACCGTACATGAAACAAGATAATACACCCCCTGGACCGATTTCCAAAGCTCGATTTCTCAACAGCAGAAAGAGTCACAGCGCCGAAAACGGCGGCGTTGAAGCCGTCTCGTCGAGAGCTTTCTGAAAATGAATCGTTTCGTATATGCATCCTCTTCGCCGTTGCGTAATCGAGCTTTGACAATCGGTCCAAGGGGGTGTGTTCTCTTGTGTCGAATACGGTACGACCCCTCTCCCGTCCAGCGTCGTAGAGGGAGTCGCTCCCTCCCATTGTAGCAATCCATGAAACGCCGAGAATAGGAATGGCTGTTAGCGAGGCGACGCAGACGTTATCTTCCGACAGAACATCACTTCACTGACCAACAAACTTGCAGATACTAATTTCGCGGCGTGTGGTTGGTCTCTGTTGTGTCCGATGGCCGTGCCCGCAAGGTACGGTCCTTACAAGTTTTCCCCACAAAAACATGCCGCACGTATTGTACATAATTGCTGTGCCTGCTAACTGCTGCTGCTGTGGCTGCTGCTGTTGCTGTGGCTGCTTTCAATGCCCGCATGCGGGACTCTTCGATCGCGCCGTTGGGTGTGCCAAGCGGCACCCACCAGCCTGCATCGCTAACACCGCACACCCTTTTACCAAACCCAATGCTCGCGCGAATCTTGTTCCACACGACGACCCACTTACCTTTACCGGTCATAGTATACGCACGTATACATACACTCAAGGGCAAACGTCGAGGGGAGACTTGACCTTGCCAACAACAGAACTCAAAGCCGCCAAACATGGTATCGGAGAAAGGTGACGCAAATATTGGTTACATTGCACACAGTTCATCCTCCTTCCCACTACCTCTCCCCGGACGAACACACGGTTCTTCAACTTTTGTTTTCTTTCCTACCACATGGTCGTCGTGTCTTCTGTTGACCCAGACGAAGGAAAACCTGGCCCTGCTGTCCGAAGCAACAGCCGGCCTCAAGACTCTCGACGTCTTCATTGGGGAGAAAGACTACAAGGGGCTTCGCCTCGCCATGCGCAACCCTCCGATCGCGAACCTCAGATCCAGCGCCAGGAAGGTCATCATCGGCATAGACGACAAAGACGCAGAGGAGAAGGTGTGTGTTGCAGAGGGTAGGGGAGGAGGGTGTGGGAGAGGGGTGCTCGTTGCATGGTCGTCATGTCATCTTCTCCAAGCTTTGCGCTCCTCGCTTGTTGATTCTTGCAACTTGTGGCCCTCTCTCTATTCGTCCTTTCGAACGCGATATTTTCGCACAGGCAACGTCCGCTTACAAGGCTTTGATCACGTCGGTGGACAAGCTGGATGGCGTTGCCAGCAGGGGCATGAAGGAGAAAGAAGGGCTCAAGGACGACAAGGAGATCCTGGAGATCTACGGCACCTGCGTCGAGCGAGGGTCAGACCTCATCACGCTCCTCCCAAAGATCCTCTAGATATTCACCTCAGGCAGCATGGTGGATTGGGGTCTGGTATCTGTGTTAAGAACATGTGTCGCTCCTCCCTAAGTTAGACTATTTGTCATTGCAACAGTTATGGTTGTCGTAGTTTGTGTCGGCGAAACGATTCACGCAATTGTTCCACGGCAGCTCCTGAAGTGCACATGGCATCGTATTGTGTGGCAGCCCAAGCTTTTCAGCATGTCTATCTGTGAAACGATTCTAGCGCTCCTAGATTTTGGGTATGCCAGAGGGGATCGGATTGTTTGAGCGGGTGTAGACTGTTTGTTTGAAGGACGTTTATGTCATTTTTTTACAACCAAGGTAGACCAAATAGTCTGTAGTACTGCTTCGAGATGGGGATCGGCAAGCAAGATGCTCACGGAAGCCTTTTTGTTTACGGTTCAACTGTTCGTCGCAAGCCCCGCTGGGTGATGGTAACCGTGTCGCCAATCAAGTCGAGACTGTCCTGCCGCCTCTTTGTCAAAAAGAAATAGATAAAATAGACACTGGGCATGCAGGCTTGGTTGGTGTTTGAAAGACGAAAGGTATTTTTTAAGGATTGTGTTTTTCTAGCCTCCAATTTTTAAGTTCTTGTTCCAAAGCCCAAAGGCTAGGTTATCATGGGGTTCGGGGCTACCACGCACGTACCGTTTGTCGAGGTGGCCCTCATCCAACAGGTTTGGCTCGATCACGTACATACGCTTTGCCGACAGAGAAAATTGAGAAACGATCAACCGGCAGCAAAACACTCTCGTCAAGCCAAGTTGATGGAGCCGTAAAAAAAAACATGGCAAGACTTGTGCAACAAGATGGCAACCGACGCGTGAAAAAGCATGATGCTAAATAGAGCAAAGAAGGAGCAATCACCACATCACAACAGATGTCGGCTGGACTCTGCGCCATCACCTTGGACTCCAGAACGCCGGTCTCCATACGCACGCACGTGTCCACGTGCACGAAATACGGAGACGGTGCGCCCCGACTTGGTAGATGGCAATTCAAGAAGTTCCACGTACCACAGGTGGCGTAAGATATCGCACCCCCTGGACCGACTACTAGCACAGCTCGATAACTCCACGCAGGAGAGGAGAGTGGTGGTCCCAAGAAAAGGAAGCCGTGGAACCATCTCATCCAGAACTTTCCGAAGACGTATCGTTTGATTTGTGCATCCTCTTCGTCGTGGAGTAATCAACCTTTGAAAATCGGGCCAGGCGGTGTGATATCTTGTGTTACCTATTGCACTGTTTTTGCGTTATTTTTTAACCTCGACTCTATTAGACATGTCGGCCCCGGATCAGTGCTGTGCAATAAGTGCTGAGCATGAGTAGATTGTGGAGTGTGGAGTGTTTCAAGGAGTGGTAGGAGTGGGGGGGTTGTCCAAGAGCGAGAGTGCAGCGAGGAGCGACTTAGATATGAGCTTATCGGAGGCTCCGCAGCTGATACGCCGCCAATCGAATCAAAACCTGACAGTTCCGCCTGTTGCGCCCTTGTTCGCGGCGTGCTCCGGGACTGCTCTTGGTCTTGCCATCTTGCCCCGTCCCTCAGCTGGAACATGGTGCTTATCAGAAGATTTATCACGGCTTGCACTTTGTTGGCATGTTGGTCCTGTCAGCGGTGCTCCGGATTCGTTAGCTCGCCGCTTCGGTCGGCACTGCTGTCATCTGTCGGGATGAAGCAGCACAAACATGACGATCGCAGCATACGGCGAAGAGACGGGACGAGGATGGCGGCCGCTCCTACCGAGCTGTGGGACTCTTACCTCCATGCCCTCGAGACAGCCCCGCTGTTGACCAAGGTTAGGCGGATACCCTCCCCCCTCTTTCTGTTGCCAATATGTAGTCAGAGGTTGTCTGACGCGGAGTGCTGACTGGTATTTACGTAGCCAAATGACCCCCTCGTCTGCTGCTCCGATCCTGTCTGTTGCTGCACTGTAGAACCAGGTCGTGTAGAGCAGTTTTGTCCTTGCCAGGTAGCGCTTGGATTCCCTGGGATGTAAGTCAATACGAGCGGGGATCCCAGTCAGTACGAATAACACGAACGTGATAGGCGCAAACTGTGTTTTTCGCAGCTCTCTGATATTTGGCAAGTGCGACACATCGTCTAATATCTGTATGCTATGTACCACATGATACATTACTGCTGTACTTTGGTCTTTGTCCTTCCCTGTCCATACAGCAGGACTTGTCTTTATCCCTCGCTGTCCACGACGAATACACCCCGTCCTCTGCCTAAATGTAGACCCAGCGGTCATTAGCCTGTTCTCGTTGTTCGCTAGCCGCCGGTTATCACCGCCTTGTGGAATGGGACGACGCTTTACACGAACGATAAGACATGGGAAAAATACAAAGATACACGCCCCACGGCACTGCCTCCTTTTTACTTTCGCACGCGGTATCCGAAAAATTCTTCTTTAGGGCATTTGTCGGTTTGGGCGATGCTGTGTACGAGTCTGCGGAATTGTGTCTGGGTGGCGCAGGCGTATGCTTGCCGGTGCGGTTTTCACAAAAAGAGAAGAGAGGGCGAGGGAAGAAGCAAGCGGTGTAGGTGGTGTCCGAACACAACCGTGTTATGTTCTGTCTCAAAAGTTGTTTCGTTTAACCTCACGATGCAAGCTTGCTCGGTTTTCACGAGTATACCCTTACGCACCGCGCATCCCTCACAATCGGCGAACAACAGCATAGTCTAGCCCTGTTTGGAGGACGTACGTGACGACAGTGCAAAATTCGAAGCCCATTTTCACTGTGAGGGGGAGCGGTTGGCGATTCCTTACCGGAAATGCCGAGTGGCCCAGCTCGAAGGGATTCTCTGGAAGAGCTTTTTTTCTATTTACGAGACGTTCGATGTTGGCACCGTTGCTTTCGTGGATTTTTTCCCGGTGGAGGGGGCCGGGGAGGGGGTGGGGGCATCTTCAGCCATCCTATTGGCGGATAAAGGGTGGGGTTGCACAGTTTCCTGCAAAAAGTAGCAAGAGCCATGCTGTCGAAAGTGGTACCCTCTCTTCCTTTCTGTAAACGTCTATCAAACCCTTTTTTCGTCGCCAGTCTATCACGGCGGGGTGCATCTTCCCCGCCGCCGACTCCGTGGCTCAGTGGTTCGACAACAAGGGCCAGGACGACGGAGAGCTGCAGCAGCAATGGGACATCGCGCGGACGCTGCGCTGGTTGTTCTTCGGCTTCGCGGTACAGGCGCCATGGAACCACGTGAGTTCGTTGGGGCAACAGGACTGCGCCGTACGTTCCAACGTTGCTGCTGCTGCGGTGGATGCTATCGTTGCTTTCATGTTCTACAACGTCGGGACCTGTACGATCCCTTGTCGCTACCGGTCCAAACCATACCGAACCTCTATCTCTCACAGAGTTGGATCTCCTTGATTTCGAACCATGACACATCTCCCACACAGCTTGTTCGTGTAGATGTACTCCGATGACAACCTTCGCAGTTTTGCGACGAGACCGTTCATATTTGTTTCGGGTTCCCAAGAAGGGTGCATTCTCAAGGCCTTGATAGTGGCCCCGACGGGTTCGAGAGAAACTCTGGGGTGCTACATTTTATTTCTGTGAGCTACACCCCGGACTTTGGACACGCGTGTGCGGGTGGACGATGGGTAGATGGTACACGGACCTTTTACTAGTTTCCCTCTATCCCATCGACCCTATGTCTTGCGGTCGACTGTGTACCAGGAACTTCATTACATATTGCGGCTTTGCTCCGGACGTGGCGTTTGTACCCCGGCCGGCACCCACCTCTCTTTACACCCTGTTGTGACTCCCTCTCAGACTTCTTCTCAGCACCCCACCCCCCACACGGTCACATATCCCCTTCCGCTTCGATGGTCTGTGTTCCTCACCGTATCCGTAGACACTAACCACCCCGGTTCTGTGTGCTCTTGTATGTATGTCGCACGCACATTTGTCTGTTCAGTTCTTTTACGTCCTCCTGGACGGAGCGTTGCCCCCGACCCCCGACCCTCTTTCGACGACGACGGCTGTGAAGGTTTTGATCGACCAGTTCGTGCAAGCACCAATCTTTACGGTGGTTATCTTTGGGGTAAGTGTCAGCGGACTTTTTCTGCGATTTTTCGAAGTCTCTTAAGCACAGCGGAGTAGCTGCTGTGCTTTGTGTGTCAGAAGAAATCGCTATGTTGCGTGCTTCGTGTCGTTGCTTTCATCGTTGATGTTTGGCCGTCATGCGAACCTATGCGGTGCCTCTTTGGGCGATAATCGTGCAAGTGTCCATCTCCCGCGGTTCGATCCCACCGCACGGCTCACTCCATTCCGCTTTTGACCCCCCTCCTCTGTCATGTCTCTTCTACTTACAGGTCCTCGGCCTTCTTGAAGGCAAGGCTGTGGCGGACATCCGGGAACAGCTGAACCAGGACTACAAGAGCACGATGCTGGCAAACTGGGGAGTGTTCGTCCCCGCGGCCGTCGTGAACCTCGCCTTCTGCCCCCCGGAGCTGCGAGTCCTCTTCCTGAACGTGAGTTTGCTGTTGCCAGAATTTTTCGTTGATTTTTTTGCTTGCATGTGTCGTCGTCTTTAGTTGCTGGTTCGCGTGTTGGAGGTATATATCCCTTTGCGGGTTGCGACGCGATGATGTGATTTGTGGTGGTGCGCTCGCCGGTCGCATCGTAAGGGTGTTATGGCAGGTTGCCTCGGGCAAAACCGTGCTGGTTCTCTAAGAGATCGTCGGTTATCTGTTTGAAGGTAGTGGTGTAGGGGGCACACGGACGAGATGCAGATTCGCACACAACCAATCAATACCTACGTGCAAAGACGCATGGGTGCGTCAATCTTGGTGCATCCTTACGACCCCGGTTTTGTCAAGGAAGGAAGAAAGCGGTAAGCGAAGACGAACAACCATCGGCTAGTACTCGATATGATGCAGAGAGTACAGACGAGAATACGATTCGCATGTGCATAAAAACCTCAATCAGTCGCTCGCTTTCATTCTTGTTGCATTGCCACAGCGTTCGATGCCACACGCATTGTTTGCGGGTGCACGGATCAACGGCAAATGATGATGATGCGTGTGTACCGAAAAGGAATCACTAACCAACATCAACGCATACTTGTTCATACGTACGTCACACGACGCACGCTCCCTACTGCTGTGATGCCAAGCTAAAACAATCGCGACGGCCCAACGCTGCTGTACAGCACGCCACGGCCGCGACACGACCGCTCATCCCAGTTCAAACCACGGGCACGACCACTCATCCTAGTTCATAGCGAAGAACGTACCCGCTCGTGTGCTGGTACACCGAGAGATGTAGAGAATCGATAAAGCCGATGACAAACATAGTAAACATTTTATCAAAGGAGCCGCCGAGAAGCACATGCTCGCGCGTATGTACAAGAACAAATTAATAGTTGCGTCCGAACGCGGCGGAATAATCTGCACCGCGAGGCACGTTGTATTGCAATCGACAAAGTACCAGACTACTCCTACCGCGACATAAAATACACGCGCCCACGCGGCGTGCTGATATCCGAGGTGGCTTCGAAATCACATTGTATTTGGAAAGAGCTTGTGTGTGGACTTGTGATTTTTAACGGCCTCCATTCTCTGCTTCTCCTCTGCCCGTTCCTTGCTGCCCCCGCCGTGGCCGTCGCCACCCTCGCCGGTGCAGGTGGTGTTCTTTGGGTGGACGATATTCCTCAGCACGGTCGTTAGCAAGGGCCCAGGGGAAGCAGTAGAAGAAGCCTAGACTTCCCGTTTAGTCTTGAGATGTTGATAGATTGCGCCGGAGTGTGGAGCGCTGCGATGGAGCGCGGCAGAACGGCGATGGCAAAGGCGAAAGGCGCGGCAGAGAACGCCCGTAGAATGGGGGCGCACGCCTTTTATGGGTGGCCGACGCAGGTGGCGGGACATCCCTCAAGCGTAGCGGTTTTTCGACCGGCAGCAAAACGCGAGTGTGCTGCTGAAGTAGGGTGAGGGGGGCGCTAGTGGGAGCCGGATTCGAGTGGTGAAAATACGGTCGTACCGAGCAAGACTATCATCATGAAGGCGCGGTTCGTCGTTCGTCTCCAGCTTGAACTCTGCTGAACAATTGGATGAGCGGAAGCTCGGGCGTGTTTGCACAGAGTGTTTTGTAGGACTCTCTTCCGCTAGTGGCACGCGGGAGGGATAAAGACAGGGAGGGGGGCCCCTTAATTTCGTGTGCCTTGCTGGATCGGCTGTACTGCTCACAATACACTAGCCGAAGCACTCACGGGCGCATGTTATTCATGTTTGTGCGTCGCACGCAATGCACGCTCCAAGCGTTCACACGCTGCTCTATTCAGAAGGTGTGGTTGGAACCCATCAGTTCGGAACGCTTGTCAACGGAGCCGTCTCCTCCGTCGACGGGCGGTGGGACCCCCCAACAGAAGCAGCAGACGACACGAGACTGAGCTCGTCGCGGTGCCATATTCCCGCCACAGGGTCGCCGTCGCCGGGAGCTCCGCCGGGGGGAACGTAGAAGACACCCTCCCCGTGTCGCAGCCCGTCGAGCCAGAGCCCTTCGTACCTGCTGCCCGAGGCGTACTCGCACACGCCTGTTTGAGTCCGGGCAAGCGTGTGAATAAACGAGGTTATGTTATTTAACACACAAAAGACCTCAACCGAACACGAAATAAACCGAGCACACGGCCCTGAATTCGAGACCGCCCTCTTGGAATCGAGCAACGTGAACCAGATACACGGGGGATTGGGGAACGAAGTCCACAGTGCTACATAATGGCGGGTTTCAAAAGAAGGCCAACGGGCGACTAATAGGCGGTTGCTGGAAGCACCAAGACAAGTTCTATACAGATGAAGCCAGAGAAAGAAACATAAGTGAACGGTTTGTGTGACACGTGATTATTAGTTTCCCGTGCTGAGGGGCGCCACGCCTCTGCAGTATTTAGTACGGGTTTCAGATGAGCGTTGTATATCACTCTGTACAGAGGCATAGTTTTCCATCGAACCTACGCCGCGTTTTCATCAATCCCTCTCTGTCATCTGCCCCCCCCCCCTGTAACATTCCGCACCTCTGCCGCATCGGACCCCCCCAACCCACTTCCCGGTGTAGACGTGACGCGTAACGCCGCAACGAAAGGTGCCAATACCGTTCTGCCGTCCGTTTCTCCAAGCCCCTGTTGACAACAGAAACACGTCCAAGATGGCGGTCACAGTTTGGTTTGGGGCAAACCCATTGTGCAAGGTACATCGGAAACCCTGGCTTTGACATATGTCGTTCGTCTAGTCTACTGAAGGTGTTTTGTGATGTACTCAACCGCTCCCGACGTAAATATGTCTTCCGCTGGTGCAGTGTTGAAATAGATGGTCAAGCTTCAAGTGACGCTTCAAGGACGCAAGTAGAAAAGGGTCGTTCCGCACATGATACTATGTGGTCTACCGCGACGAAAACTATCAATTCGCACCCTTGCCCATACTTTGGAACACTGTTCCAGCCTTGACTTCTGTTCACAGCGTTTCATGGGCAACGTGAAAGCCAACACGATAGCGCTGGCCACACCAAACACAAGAGTACTCGGCCTGTGTTGGCGTCGCTGGTGATTCATACTCATCACAACATGCTCGACTTGAAAATCGTGCCAGGTACCTCGCAACGCTCTTGCCAACGCCACATTCGACGCGTAGCGCAAGAGTTAGTTCGTCGTAAAAGCAAAGTTCTTCGGCGTGACACTCTTCATTCAACCGCAAACAGCGTTGTTCTCTTCACCCTCATATTCGCTTCCGTCCGGCAGGTCCAGCCTGCCGTGGCCCTCCCGCTTCCCCAGCCGGTACTGCCCTTCGTAGACGCCTCCCTTGCCCGGAAGTTTTTCCCTCCCGCGGGCTAGCCCCTCTTCCGTCCACAGGCCTTCTATTGATCCGCCGCTGCCGCCACCTCGTCCTGCAAGTCCCGAGCCCGACCCGGCAACCGAAGAGCTGTACCGGTTACTTGGTGCTGCCGGTGCTGCCGGTGCTGCCGCCACCACTCGCAGCGACAGGACCCCCCTGCCTAGAGGTCGACCCCCCACCCACTCCCCATCGTACGAGTTCGGAATGGTCGGGATACTGGTAGCACCCGGTGTGCCACCTGTGGCCACCGAACATCCCCCGCCGCAGCCGGCAGTGAAGAAGGAGCAGACGCCGTGGCCATCGCGGACGCCTCGCTTGAAGTCCCCCCGGTAGCTTGCCAGCGGGGGACACCCAGGGCCGAAGGCGGCGACAACAATGGCTGTATCCTCATCGACGTCTGCAGCCGCACCTCCTCCTCCTCCTCCTCCTCCTCCTCCTCCTCCTCCTCCTCTTCCTCTTCCTCCGTCTCCTCCCCCACCACCACTGCCACTGCCACCACCTTTTGCCCCCTCGCGTGGAGCCGCATAGAGGCGCTCGCCCCGTCCATGGGGCTTGTCTGCATCCCAATCTCCTGAGTACGACCCATCGCTGCCGCCCCCACCACCGCCGCTCACCGTGACGGCAGCTGGCCCTTCTCCTGCCGCATCCACCGCCACCCCGTAGTCGCACCGTCCCTTGCCCTGCCTTTGGCCGCTCGCGTCCAGCTGCCCGGTGTAGACGTCTCCACCGTCGAACACCTTGGTGGTGGCGGCCTAGCATTGGGTACGTGTGAAAGTGCACGCGTCAACCTATTTAATTACATTAACAGCAACGAGAGACTCAGCTGCAGCAAGCGCTAACACGTAAATCAGTCCTGCTCCAGGTTTCAAATGTCGTCGAAACCAAACCCTATCGCCGATCAAGATCGCGTTCGCAGAGGACTGCGGGGCATTAGACGCAAGGTACGCATGCCGCAGGAGCAATGAGATGGAAACCATCGATGGTGGTACGTTTCCATGTGGAGCTTCAAGTTGGGCCTCAACATGTGAAGGCGACACAGCAATAATGGTACGCTGCGTTTTGCCATTCGAACATCGCCAGAAGATTCACCACCAACAACGGAGAACTTCGTCCAGAAATATCGGGTTCATGGAAGGTCAATATGTTCAGTCCCAGGATACTCAGCGAGGTTTCGAAGTGCTTCGTTGTTTTGAAGCATGGCTTCATGCCTACAACGTAGAGAGAAAAGAGAAACAGGAGGGGCTCTGTCTTCGTTTGATGCTCCAAGACAACCTCTCCGACATCGCCCTACACGACGAGACATGTAAGGCAGTGGGGGAGGTCGGGCTGGGGAGAGGTGTCAGGAAGGACATGGGGAACAGGGGGACCTTTGTTGCGTTGGCAAGAAGTGTTGGTCGGCCTCGATGATTTGTATGCACACCGGTCGCCCCGGTGGTCTGGTTGGTAACGTCGAAACCTTCTAGAGGTCAGGTCAGGGGTTCGAATCCCGGCGTAAGCGAGCTTTTCTTTGAAAGTGCGTTTTTCTCTCGCTTCCGCCCCTGGCCTAGTGGATAGCGCTAATTCCGTGTGTATACAGAGGGAAGAGAGTGCTTGAACTCTTCTTGCATTTAAAATCGAAGGCGACGTACCGTAGGAGGGGAGGGTAGAGAGGGGCTCTTCTTTGTGACCACGGGTTGGAGTAAACAGCACTAGTGCTGTGAGCGCTGATTTGAAGTGAAGACAAAAACAAATCCAGCGAAACATTATCGGTACCCGAGGTATCACAAACCCAGTTTCTCTGTAGGCATGGTCCATTAAGGGAGAAGGCGTGTTTTTTGTTTTCGTGTTTTCGCATGTACAGCCTGAACCGCTACCGGAGTGCGTAGTGTCCAACCCACCTGTGAATCTTCGCCACTGGTACCCTGGCCGCCTCCCTCCTCGTCGGCGAGGCCATCGCATCCCCCGTCCCCTCCTGCGGCCGCGCCGCCGCGAAGGTCCAGCACGAAGGCCTCGTCCGGCGCCGCTCTGGTTCCGTCCCCGTGACAACCACCAAACAAAAACGCCAGATTCCTCCCGCCACCGATGCCACCGCTGCCACCGCTGCTGCCACTGCTGCTGTTGCCGCCACCGCCGACGTCGCCGCATCGGTTGCCGTGGCCCTCATTGTCACCGACGGGCACAGAGACCATGGCGTGACTATACCGAGGACCCGGGCTCGGAGGCGAACTTCTTGCAAGATGGAGCGGCGCGACAGTCCCGTCGTGGCGCAGGACGATAGCATCCTGTGCGAAGATGACGACGAGGACAACGGTTTTGTGGTCAAGGTTTCAGTGTTGTGGTTTCTCTGCACCTTTCGTGTAGCTATGAGCTGAGTGTGGGTTTTGGGGAGGTCGTTCGTCTCTCCTTAGGTCCATGGACAATGATGTATTTTGAAAGTTTTGTGTTGCTTGCGACACAATAAATGGTTAGGATGGTTTCTTGACGTAAGCCTGATGAACGCTACGCGGTACAAGTATGCCATCAGGGGTTGTGAGAAATACCGAGCGGGACAGATTTAGCCACTTGCGGCCAACAATGCAACTATGATTCTTAGTTAAAGTATGCAGACCTATTTCAAAAAGATTCGAATAGTTGGCGTGCTGCGAGGCAGGCAAAAGGTGTTCATCACCGTTCTTCATACTATGTAGCAGGGATAAGCAAGGAATACGATAATCCTCTACGCAACTCCCATTCGCAACTCCCGTTCCTACCGGCAGGCACAGCCTTGCCACAACACCCCGCTCGGCCACGCATCGCGCTTTGCCCATGATGCCCCCAAACTCACCCCGCTGACAGCGGCCTCGCCCACAACACCTCCGAAGATAAGGATGCTCTCGAACACCAGCGGGTCTCCGCCTTCGTCGTCTCCGGCATGACAGTCGGTGCTTTCCCCCTGCCGGCGATCGTCGCCGCTGCTGCTTCGGCTGCCGCTAGTCTTGTCGGCGTCCTTAGTGTTAGACGTTTTTGACCCCGCCGCGCCTTCTTTGCCCCCTCCCTTCTTCTTCGCCGTCGGTGATACCGCGCCGTTATCGGGATCTGTCGATGGCGTGCTCCCTGGTCCTGCCGCTGTTGATACCGGCCCCCACAACTGCACGTTGGGCGTTGCCGCCGCTGAGGTTTCGCTGGTCTCCCCTCGGATCGGCGGCGGCGACGACGAGGCTGCGTCAGGCACGGCAGCGGCGGAAGAATCCGGTTGAGATGCATCCTCCTCTGGTTGTGGCCGATGCGGTTGCTGCCCGCCGTCATCGCTGTTCTCCGTTTCGACACCCGTTACCGAAACCGCCGTGTGTAAGCACCGCTGTTCCGAGAGGCCAACGCCTCCGACAGCCTGGAAAGATGACCAGATCAAGCCAACGGCGTCGAGCAGATAGATTGTAGAACACCCCCAGCTCTTCCCGCCTCCGACGAACACGACTTTCCTCCCGTCATTGACAGGCGTGGCCGTGTGGTACGCGGCTGGTGGGGGGCTTTAGGTTCATGCGGATCGCGTGCGGAATATATGCAGGTACAGGGAATAAGCGAAGATGCGCATGTATGATACGGTGGTGCAGCGAAGGTACTTTGTAAACAGGTCTTCAGCATTGCAGGAAACCGGGGTCCGAGCCGTTGCGTGCTGAAAGTGCTTGACTTGGGGCTAAATCAAATCGCAGAAAATCACAGCACTCATGCGCATTCCATGTTTGAAATGAATATTAAACTGTGATATTCAACCCTGAAGCTGGATCGTTGCACAAAGCCCTCAAATAAAACAGCCGCTTGTGAAAATGTTCCCTCAAAGAACCACCTGCAACAGCGGTCCGAGAGGTGATTGAAAACGGAGTGTGCTTACCCCTCGCCTTCCGGCAGAAGCCGTTCCCACCGGGCCATCCTGTTGGCATCGCCGTTGCTTCCCACGCTACCAACGTCGCCGTTTCCTGCTGCTCCCTCACCCCGCTCTCCACCTCCTCCTTCAACACTGGAAAGATGACCCGGGAAAAATGCCCAAAGGTCTCCCAGCAACTCCGAGGTCTGGTTCAACCCTCCGTGAATCAGCATCGCACGCTCGATGCCGCCCCCACTGTCGCCACTCCCCTTCTCGCCGCTGGGGTCACTGAAGCTACCGCTGCCAGGCACGCAAGCTGCGCACGAGGCGTGAAAAGCCGTCGGAGGTGGAATAATTGGGGCTGCCCCCAACTCGGCTGTTGCATCATTGCCGTTGCCATTGCTCCCTCCTGTCTTTTTGTTGGTTGTCGAGGCTTCTGGTGTACTCTGCACTATTGCGGGGAAAGTTAGCACTCGCCACACCAAAGCTCCGGACCCCAATTTCGGGGTAGCCTCATAGACATCTCCAAGTTTAGGATACGCAGGCGATCCCGTGCAATTGTTGCGAGCAGGGGTGGGGTTCGATGCCTCGCCGCCAAAGAGATATATTGAAGACGACAAGGGTGAGGCTGCACGCGACAGGTCGACTAGGGTGACGGCCGCATGTCCAATCCTCGATACTGGGATATCGCCTTCTTGGGAAGCGGTGATGCGGGCAAGGGCGGGAGAGGGAGCAGGACCAGCTGCTGCAGCAGCACGGGACAAATCAGCAGGAGCTACTGTGACCGATGGCACTGATGCCGCCGAGGCTGATGCAGTTGCTCCAATGCGGTCCGCTGCTGCAATAGCGTGGCTATTGGAGATCCCGTTGGACGAATGTGGTCGTTGTTGTTGTTCCTGTTCCCCCCATGAAGTCCGGAGAGAGCAAGGTGGCGACCATCGAAACAGGTGCAGGGCGATGTTGGGGTCGCTTGTTTTCGTTCCCGACCCACCCACGAGATACACCCTGCGCGTGGTGTTCGTCACCGAGGGAAAATATATGAACACGATAAAACACTGCTGTTGGTGTTTCGAAATTGTTATTATGCCGTGTGCAGCAGTATGTGTACGGCAGGCTAGACTGACAGCATACTGGTACAGTAGTGCAATCTACGAAATTGGAATCATAGACTTCTACTGTAGTGTTGCCGATTGACGATCAACGCATTTCTCTATGCATGCCACTGGGCCCACCATGTGGGCCCTTGCTCTTCTGTGGTTCCATGTACTGGCCAACACGGCGAAATAAGACTGCAGGACCGAGCGCACTGGCTGTGTGTGATTCGCGAGAGAGTCAGTGCACGAACACTACAACACAAGATCGATGTCAACAGCGGATAAGAAATAGTCCAAGGGCAGGAAGAAAACAACGCTTCCTTCACTTCTACTCTTCTCGTGAACTGCTCTTTCGCTGATATAGCACACCATACAATAGCCTGGTTGCGTAGACTTTGGGCATCATCAACTCTCCTCTGCGGGACTTGCCTATTTCCGACGACGCAGGGTATGGCCCCGCCGACGTTGTCGTTGTGATCTGCGGGTGGTGATCCATCACATGTGTCTACCTTCTGCCACAACACTCCCATCGACTCCTTGATACCACTATCCTGACACGCCTGCTACTCGCGGCGGGAGCTTAGGAACACGAGCCCTTATGCCGTGTGGGAGATGCGGTGCAACTTGCAGTAGTTGCACCGCATCTCTGATAAATGATAAATGGTAGCATCCACGACGGTTTCGCGTGAGCGGGCACATGATACATTCGCTTTTCCTGCTCCCTCAGAAACAGCGAGCGCCTCCTATGTAGTGACCACGAACCCTTTTTTAGCTCGCGTGCCCATGTGATTGCTGTAAGCGTTGTGGCCGTGCGCTCCGCAGCACCGGTTCGCCGTTTGTTCACTCGAAAGCAATGTGTAAAATCTACATTTAGTCTAGAGTGTGGCAATCGATGAGCTAAAAAGCGACGGCAGTTTTTTTTTTTCTTTTTCAAATCAGCGCTCACAGCGTTTGTTTGTGTCGTTTGCTCCAAAGCGTTGTCACACAGAAGGATTCCTCTCCCTGAGGCCACCCCTCCTGCGGTGTGTTGCCTTTGATTGTTGATGCGAGAAGAGTGCGGCACACTCTTCCCTCTGTGTACCCGCGAAAATAGATTACTACCGGAGCAATGAGAATGCGTTCACGGAAGAACGACCATGAACAACAAGATACATACTAGGGTTAAGGATTGGTCCCCCGCCCCTCAATGGGGCTGGGGGCCAACATCCAGGACGGATGGTGGTGAGTGTCCGGGAGGAAGGAAAGAAGAAGAAGAAGGGGAGAAGATTTGTTGGGGCGGGAAGAAGGGACGGTGTTGGGAGAGGCAAGGAAGTGGTGAAGAATTTCGGCACTCGACGAGCGCGCGGTCCCGTCGGGGGTGAAAGGGACATGTCAGTCCGTAGTCTTGTCTCTATCGGAATCGAAAAGCCGAAAAATCGAGGTATACATTATGTACATAACGATGGAGAAGGCCGACGAGGAAGGTACGAAGAGAGGACATTGCACCCCACGTTCGAAGTTGGTGTGAAAACCGCGGCAAGGAAGGAGTGCGGAGGGAACAAAAAAAAACGGAGACAGACGTCGACGTTTGCGTCGTGGAACGATCCTTCCGTATAACGCAGGTACTCACCAATGCAAGACAAGGAGGTAAAATACCCATCGTGAAAGTCAAAGCGCAGGTCATACCTGCATATGACTCATGCGCGGAGAAGTTACCACGGAGAGTTATCAACAAGAAGTTTGAAGGCCGGCTGAGAAGGTTTGAAGCCACAAACACTTCAGCGACGATGGCAAGCGCAACGTCAAAACTTCACAGGAAGAAAATTGCATATAAGAAAAGTGCATACAAAAAAAGAAAAGGCTGGATGCCGACCTGTGGCTCTCTCGGAATGAAGGGATTCCCACAATTTCCAACAGGTAATCCACAAGTACGGACATATATATGAAGTTACTGGGTAGAGAGAGATCGGAACGGTTTTTAATGGGAAGACAACAACAACAACAACAACAACAACAACAACAATGATGAAGGTCGACCCGTCCTGCGTCGTTCGGTGTAAAATGAAAAATGGGAAGGCAGGCGGACTGCGTAAAGATCCAGTGGCCTTTTTCAGCAGTGGCAAAAGATGCAACCACATGTCGCAAAAAAAAAAAAGTTGAGCGGGATACTCTAGTAAATAGAACACCGCCTCCTCTGTTGTTGCAGGCAGGTTTGCTTCCACAACCCGGGAACCCAACCCACTCTTGTATTTCGGCCTACAAGACTCCAATCGACGCAAGCACCGGTAGGGGAGTGCGTGGAAGATGCCGTGACAGCACAACTCCACTCTCCTACGACATCTATGTACAGTAGTACTGCTGTCGTTGTAGCACCATGTGGAAGATCTCCGAGGGGTCCTCCTGCGCGGGAACGACAACATGGCGAGAGCTCTATATCGTCGATACATGTGGCAGCCGCGCGACACACGAACGGATGTTTGCATCGCACTGTACTATGGTTCGCCGTGGCAGGAAGTATCCCATCCAGTTAGGTCGTTGCGGTAGTACGCGGACGTTGTTCGGCGTCTAGTCCATACTGCTGTTGCAAAAACACAGCAGTATTCGAGCTATGCATGAAATTGTTTGCTCTGGTTCACTTTTGCCTCCACAACCCGATAATCCCACTGCTGTATCTCGACCTACAAGACTCCAATCAACAAACCAGCACTGGCAGAAGTGCGTGGAAGATGCTCTGACAGCACCACTGAGTCGACACTCGTACGACTTCCATGTACAGTCGGCGTCTGGTCCATACTGCTGTAGAAGTGCCAAAAATCGAGCCATCTTTTTTATATTTTTTCCCATACTAATAACAAGAAATGTATCACGTCACGACGACCATCCTGTGAGTACATATATAACATGATATGAACCACTTCCACATTGGCAGCACAAGATGATATCGCATCGGATTTGTTTGTTTTGCTCGATGCCGTCTGCACCCTCTGCACTCGAATCTGCAGTATGTAGACTAATCAAGTTAATTAACACGTGACGAAGTTGCAACTGAGGTGCCAACCTTGTTCATCTCCAAAACAACACGAGATTTTGCTCCCGATACCTTGTCGATATACAGGGGAAGGACGCGAGACGGCATTTTTTCCCACGTACCACTTCGTTTGCTGTCTTTGGCGATAGGCATGGGTAGACTATGCCTACGGACCATGTGCACTCTCGGGGAAAAGTATGATATGCCCATCGAACAAATCCTCGAACTTGGTGTCCGGGGATCGAAAAAAGACTAACGCATATTGCGGCACCATTCCTTTCAAGCCATATTTGCATCTATCTACTGCCGCTCACTGTGCGTTCACCAGCTAGGAGAGGTGCCTGGTGCAGTCAAATATCCTCGAAATGGTGGATGTAAACCCTCGCTAAAATGTAGACTAGGCTTCTCAATCGACGAGTGGCTTGTCTCAGAGAACGGCATCCTCGTTCATGGTCCGCCCGGGCCGTTTCGCTTGTCAAAAAGGAAAACCAGCTAGCTGAATACAACACACGACCCTGCGGATGATATTTGATACCTTCCCATCGCTTGTTCTTGACAGCGGCGTTCGACTCAGATAGAATAAATGCACCGGTGACTTAATGCGGTGGTCGTGGCAACTCTGGCACCCCGGCCAACCCTAGGTAGAACATCCGATTGCTTGTTTTCTCTTATTTTCCCCATCCCTATATGAACCATTCTTGTCGTTCCCTCACGCACCCACTCATCCGATTCCTCGACTCCTCCTCCTGGTGCTTCTACCTAGCTATTCCAGTCAGCATTGGCCAGTTGCCAGGCATTGAACTCGGTCTGAAGCTCGGCCGCTATCCTTGCGCACGCTGCCGCCTTCCTCCTTTCGCACTCGGCCCGAAGTGCCGCACGTGCCGCATCCCTTCCCTCGCTCTCGGCCCGAATCGCTGCCATTGGTGTGACCTGCCCGGCGGCCATCTCCAGCCTCACGTCGACGACCTCTTGCCT